GTGAACTTGGAAAAGGGGGGCTGGGAGAACGGCCCACCTGTCCCTGCTCAGGGTGCTGGGTGGGGAGACAACAAGCCCCTAACAGCATCCAGGTGTCCCACAATTCAGTGCAGCTCTGACACTGACCACCAGCAGTTAGTGTAGACCCTGCGGGTCAGGAGCGCAGCCGCTATCGGCCGCCCTCTCTTCAGCTGCCAGCCACAAGCCTGGAGGCCGCCCGCATGTGCCGCTGACCAGCTATGACCTGGGGAGTTCCCACAGCTCCTCTAGGCTCCATCGTTCTCTGGAACAACTGGCACAGCTGGCCGGTGCAGTGCAGGTGGGACAGTACATGTGGAATGGAGGGCCAGCCCCAGAGAGCTGACGCCTGCCCCCACCCGTCCACTGAGCCGGGCAAGACGGGCCCCGCGTCAGGTGTGGTGGCTCCCAAGGCCACTTGAGGAATCGATGACATTAGCATCTGGGAAAGTTCTAAGACCCAAACCAGCAGTGAACATAAAAGCACGGCCTGGAAAACACTCATATCTTGTTCGTGATGTCTACATCTGTCTACCTCAAATGCCTGCCCCCAGCAAAGCCTACTAAGTCGTCACGCGTGTTGGCTCATTAAAGCAGCCCTGGGCCCTCGTTGCCCCCACCTCCCAGGAGCACCCTGCTGACACCCATGGTTGGGGTGGGGGGGCGGCTAGGAGAGTCGGGGGGGCAGGGCTGTCTGGTGGCCGCTGTCCTGAGCATCCACACCCTCTTGTCTGTCCGCAGGCACCCTGAGAGCCGTGCTCTTCATCTTCGCCTCCGTGTGCGCCTGGTATTCTGGGTACCTGCTGGCACAGCTCGTCCCAGACGTGCCCCTGTCCAGTGCCATCTACAGCATCCGGAGCATCGGGGAGAGGCCCATCCTCAAAGGTCAGTGCCCAGGTCACAGCCCACTAGGAGCTGCGGCCCGGCTCCAGGTTGGCAGTGGGTTCTGGCCATTTTACATTGGTGACTATGACGAGGGGGAGGAGATAACATCTTCCGTTTCCTTCCTTTCCATCCCCCACTCACCCCATGTTAAGGCAACAAACAGAAAAACTTTACATGCAGACTGTGTTAAATAAAAATGTGTTTGTTTGGAATACAACTCAAATTGGGAATGAGGTGAAATGACCAAATAGCCATGAAAAATGACATTTGGTAATGTGTGGACACTAAGTGTAATCTGAACTCCTTTTCAAGATCTTGTGAACAGATATGCTGGTATATTTTCAATACGGGAGTAAATTATTCAACATCAATTTGCACAAATATAGAGAACTGAGTAATCCTATCTAATAAAAGAGAAACATGGTAATTAGCCATACATCCGCTACCCTTCCCATTGGCTAATCAGGGCGATATGCAACTTAACTGCCAGCCAAGATGGTGGTTAACCACCAACAAAGATGGTGGTTAATTTGCATATGTATCCGCAATGCTGGGAGGCGAAAGGGGAAGGACTGAAGAATGGTGATCGGCAACCCAGGCGGCAGGCGAGAGCTGGGGGGTGGGCAAAGGCCGCCTTCAGCCGGTGATCACCATCGGAAAGCCGGTTGGGGTTGCTGGCTGGCCTGTGTGGAGCAATTGCCATGGTGATTGAAGGGCGGGAGGGCTGGGCGCAGGCCAGGCAGCAACCCCGGACTCCCGGGGCTGGTGGCTGGCCTGCGGCCCCAAGATCGCCATGGTGATCGGAGGGCGGGAGGGCCGGGGCACAGGTCAGGCCGCAACCCCAGACCCCACGGGGGCCAGGGTTGCTGGCTGGCCTGCGCCCAGCGATCGC